CCTACAGTTCTAGATAGAAGAATTTAATGTACAATACTCCAATATCTGCTCACTTTGTCAAAGTAATTAGGTGGCAATTAAGCCATTACTACACATGATGTCCACAGTGCAATGAGTCTTCTTTTTCCCCCTGTTTTAATTGAAATTATTGATTTTGTGTTGATTCAGTAATACATACCTTTGAACGTATTTTTAATTAAATTTGATCATCTTTATATAAACAGCTGCAGACTTACATGGGAGTAATTTACTGCACACTCACTGGGCGTGATGAAACGTCTGATGATTTTCGATCTGAAAGATCCGGGTGTCTCAACAGTATGGTTAAATTAGTGCCAGATTCACACAAATGGTGAGGACTCAGGTGATACGAGCGCTCACCTGATAAGCTTTATGAGAAAACTGGCATGGGTAATGGGCGTTTGTTCAAGAAATGGGGGCAATGCATCCAGGCTAACCTTATCCTGTCACCTCCAATTCGCTATATACAGAGGACAGACACAGTATGCGGTACTCTCTCTCCATGGTGCATAGTAATAATATCAGAAAGTTATGCATAACAGATGAAAGCCCAAATAGTTCTAATGTGATTAAGAAAATCACATTAGAGAAAGAATGGCATTGTAAGGTTTTTCTAATGATCATCCAGGAGGAACCGTATTGGGTAGAGAAAGAAAATGTCATGGGCGACATTTAATTGAACATGTATTTAGCTTGACCAGGAGTGTCAAAGGAAGGTTTTTAAAATGATGCAGGAGGAAAAAAATGGCAAAAATTTGTTTGTCAGAGTTGAGGACAAACGCCACAGCTGTTTGATTAAATTAGGATCCGAGCCCTGTGTGGTACTGTACGTCATGAATTATTCTGCTATTCCTGTTTTTTTTTTTTGCATAACATTACTCATCCTGTAAATAGGTTTTCAGCCCCCACCTCTGTTAACTGCTCCACAGCCCTAGTTTTCACGGCACAGATGGCCGTTTTCTGATCCTCCCTCGATTTCTGTCTCGGTCGGGGAAGGGGGGGGGGGGCGGAGTCTTGGTGGGGCACTGTTTGAACCAGTCAAGATTTGGCAGGTCACTCGGAATATGCATCTTTCTGTAAAATATAACTGGCTGCCTCCAGATAACCAAACGAGGCATGTGCTGTTTCACGATCCTGGGAAACACGAGCCTCCGGCACATTCCTCAAGCCCATGTGGGTACCCTGATGCTGTTGTCAAGTCAGATGTTTACCTACATACATTATGCCAATCATTGCATTACACACAGTGTAACATTCCCATGCGCTGTGCAATATATACTAATGTGAAGGTTTTAAATAAAATAAGATGGGAATATGAAATGCAATATGCTTTCCAAAGGCCCAATATTAATGTTATCATCTCTCTTTGTAAAACATTGTATAATGCCTTATGCAATAAATAACATAATCCAATTTCTTACAAAGGAACCAGGTCACAAGATGTATTGCTCTGGGTGGGGGTGTTACTTATTTGTGTGGGCTACATTTTGGATTAATATTGTCAGCGAAATCTAAAATCTATCATTCCAAGTTTGCAATGGCAGCTGGCCAGATTTTCAGATAGCTTGCATAAAAATGAAATAGCCCCCGTGTCAGCACTTTGGGGTGCCTTTTTGGGTAGTGCGTTTGGCTCATATCTTAAGGGGTGCTGGTTCAAATCCCACCTTTGTAAGTTTTCTCCAAATTGCTCATAATGTGTGTATGCCCTCTAGAACCCTGCTTTCTGGAAAAGGCTGCAGGATACCCTGTGACGCTGTGTAGAGTAAGTGGCTGGAAGATAGATGGATGGATAAAGAGTTACATTTCCATCAGAAGACCATTAGTGTGACGTTTCTTGAATACATGGAGAGGGCTGCACACTTAAGTTGCCTTTCCTCCGTTGGCAGTAGGAGAATCTCATGAAGTGTAATTAAAGCAGCGTATCTGTGTATGTAGGGAGTTTGTCCACTGTAAGTGTTACTAATTAGGGTGTCTGCTACCTTCATTTGTTCTCCGGTTGTCCTGGTATTAGCCATGCTGTTTGAAGGATGGTAGCACACATAGTTATACATTACTACCTTCCTAGCAACTAATTAGATAACCTCTTTACAGGAACACATAATGCCACAAGCAGTGCACTCAGCAGAAGATACGTGACTGCTGTTTTCAGTCCTGATGTTTCTACATCTGTGAAACTTTTCAGTTAAAATCAAGAAATTTTTGGATTCAAGGAGAGCCCTAGCTATACTGATCAAAAGGTATCAAATTACAGTTAAAGATTAAATGGAAAAGGTCACTTGTGACATGCTGTGGTCTTCATCTGAATGACAGCTAGCATCTGGCAGAATAGCTGTATGAAAATGGTAATTATGTTTACGGAGAGTGATATTCAAATGAATTGAATGCGCAGTTAAGATTTTTCAAGATGGCTGTGTGTTGCTATCTGATATGGGCAACATTAATTAGCCAAATGGGATTTAAGTGTTTCTATACAGCTGCCACTGTATAATGGCAGTTAGCAAGGTCAGACTGTGGAGTTTTTAAATACCTGGTCAACAAATGATGTATTTTTATTGTGTATTTATTTGGTTATTTCCCTCTGACACTGGGTTAATATCCTTAATAGTGTCTTTAAGTAGTTAACAATATTTGTGTTATTTTGAAATAGCAGTTCATAACATTTTATGCACACAAGTATGGTGAAAAAAATGTTTGGGCAGCTTAAAACACAGGGAACTTAGTGCACCCCATGTCATGCTGCACTTAGTGCACCCCGTATCCTGTTGCACCAGAAAGGTTGTCATCTTTAAAAGGCTATTAATTACATAACAGCAGATTCAGCAAAATCCCGGCAAAACCATTAAATAAACAGAGCTGTAATTGGTCGTTCAGGAGCCTCTGCCACTTTGTCTGATTCCTTGCTCTTCCCACAAGCCTTTCATGTGCTTCTTGAAGGCTTTTCTGGCATCCATAGACTTGACAGATGCTGGTCATTGGTAATTGTGTTAGGGAGCATTTTTCAGGCAGTGATGAAAAATCAGGTTGCTTTTTGGAGTGCTGCAGTAGCAAACAAGCCTGTCTCTGTTGCAGATTTAGCTTGTTTTATTTAAAAAAAGTCAAAGTAATGAAAAACTGGGTCTTTATTCTTTACTTCTCTAGCCCAGAAAAATATTTTCCAAGAAAATAAACTTAATATTTTAATAGTATTTTTTATGATCCTTTATTGCGTCAGCAGATGTAACTAGGGCTTGGTTTCTGCTGGTATCAGTAAGATTCTGTCATTTTGCAAATGCACTGTTAACAGAGAACCAACCACTTTGACAGAAGAGACTGGATGAGATTCAAGATCAGGGGTGGGCAATCTTATCCGCAAAGGGCCGGTGTGAATGCGGGTTTTTGGTGCAACTCCCTGATTAGATTACTAATTAGAGGACTGATTGGCTGAAGAGTCCTCACAACTGGGTTAGTACAGCTGACCTACAGTACAGGTTATCCCAAAAACCTGCGTACACACCGGCCCTTTGCGGATAAGATTGCCCACCCCTGTTCAAGATACAGATGCTTTATTGCCCTCGTGTTATACACAACAAGATTATGTTAGTGATCTTCGAAGCCGCTGCAGTCAAAAATATGAAGCAAACAGTATATGCAAAAGGTAAATGATACAAAAAGAAGAATATGTAATATAAACAATATTTTGGGGTAGTAAAAAGAGAGAGAGGAGGAGCATCCACTGATTACAGCGCTTTGCCGCTCCCATCGCATGACACATCACCTCAGGGATGAGAACCTGAGTGCAGCCAGGTGGTGGGTGATACCTCAGCACCACACTAGTCCAAATGGACCAGTGTGAGGATTTTTCCTGGTGGCTGGAGTTCCAATCCTGCCACCAACCCCCAAATTTTTCCCTGTAAGTTGGACGACCTCCTTATAGGGCTGGATGTAGATTAACATCATACCTTACGAATGTTGGCACAGATCCTCACCACTGCATGCTGAGGGGGAAAAGGCAGGAAGGTGAGCAGTGCCTGCAGTACTGGACTAAGCACATGTGGCGTGCTGGGCAAGCAACACTGGCAGTGCCCCTCAGCTGAGACAAAGCGAAGTCAGCACGCTAAGTCAGTGCCCCATCTAAAGATGGCGCCCTAGGTGGCTGCCTATGTCACCTCATGGCTTTAGCGGAACTGAGTGGATCGTCGGCTGGTCATAGGGTGCTCTGGCTTTCAGCATTGTTGGGGGGGGGGGGGGGGCTTTAATATTTCTTTATGCCCCTTGAATATCTTTCACTCAGAACCGGAAGCTTCGCTGTTGAATATTTCTCACTCTGACCAGGGGGGATAATACTTCTTTCACGGCCTTGAATATTTATTGCATTATGTGCGGCAGGTGATAATATCAGGAATGCACTTTGTCAATTGTCAGTACACCTCTGCAGACCCTCAGCAGGCTAGGTGAATCTGTATTTTTGTTAGTTTTTTTGTCACTGCTGGTAATTAACAGGGGGTATATGAAGCCACCAAAAAGATGGTTGGCAGTTTACTTTTTACACGTTAATCATTTCGACACCCCTTTCCAGTAAGTGGGGCAAATAGTTTAATAGCTACCCAAGATCATCTGCAATTTTTTAATGGCATCTAACCGGTCTAGAATGAATATTTAAACTAAAGTGAAATTGAGACTACAGGGCTATTAAAAAACAGAAAGACGTGTATCTACATATAAATACATAAGTGTGTAGAATTCAGTTCAGGGCAACTTTTTTCATTTACTTTTTTGATGAAGCATAGCACTTAATATTTATTTATCAATGTTTACTTGCTCAAGTGTAAAACAGTATGTTTCATCTGAATCATTGATACATAATAGCAATTCCAGCACTGTCTGCCTCTTCATGGTTTCTCGTGTGACCTTTCAGCACAGAGAATGACTCCATTTTGTAGTATTTCTTCAAACTTTATCTAGTCTGGTACTAACCTGCCTTTTTTCCTTTCTTATTTCAGAAAACTGGACACTCAAGCCGAACATTTGGGAGGTTTACCCATGGTGTGTTTGGGTTTATGGACAATAACTTTTTGAGGCAGGAACAGTATTAAAAACAGTGTTTTTACCATGGTATTTTGTAATACAGATTAAATTAAGAATAGGAAATAGTATCAAGTAATTTAGCCAAAAGCTCTGAGTAACATCTTTAGTTTAGTGATGCTCTGATACAGGCCGTTCCATCTCATGACGTGTCATCAACAACTTGAGAACGTCTGGAAACTGCCAGGTCTGGGATTTGTGGGTACATAATGAAATCTTACAAATACGAAGCGTGTACATAGTAACTGCCAGCTGATTGAGGTTTTCTTTATTTCGCGCATTACAAGTGATTCCTGGAGGCCCAGAAGCAGAGCTTATAAGAGCAGCTCTACAATGCTAGTATCGTAGAAGGAAAACAAAACAATTGATAAATCAGATTTGATTGGTGCATCTGTTGTCTACAGATACCCTGCATTGTCACAGATGGGTGGGCAGCTGGGGGGCACCAGACCAAGCAATATACAAAATACACAGAAAACACACATTTGGAGAATAGAATGGGTTTCTGTAGCTGACACACTAGGTTTGTTTTTGTTCACTGAACTATATGTATTTTCCAGTGACAATTGAAGTTTTGGTAGCACTTTACTTAAAGCAGTCATCATAAAACGTATAATGGATACCTTATATAGATGAGAGCTTCATAGAGCATTCATAATGCATAATAAACATGGTTATAATGTGTTATACCTTTTTATGAACAGTTATAGTCATACATATAATACTTAATGAATGCATTATAATGCATTATGAAGTTATATATAATGCGTTTATATACTGTATGAGCGCTTTAAGTAAAGTGCTATAAAAAAAAATACTATTTTGCATAGTTATGCCCTTTCAGAGATCCCAGTTCTTTGTCTCAGGAAATCATTAAATCACTCAGTACTGTGGAAAGTGATATGGTTCAGTACACAACATAATTTAAGAGGCAAATATAAAACTGTATGGAAAGTAGCCCTTATATATATTTTTATTGCAAAAACCTTGACCTTCATACAGCTTAAGGAATATGTTCCATTAAGAAATGTCTGTCATGGAGTGAGCTTTGTGTTTGCTTAATTTTTGTATGAGAATAAATATTTTTATTCTTTTAAATATAAACAGTGTTTTGCTTTATTTACTATTTTGAATAATTTATTTTCCTCTTGTTCAGTGTTGATATTCCTGCCAAGTCTCATAAAAATTTAACATAAAGAATATTCATATTATTATTAATCAGAAAGTAATTAATGAAATTAATTAATGCACTATTTTTTACTTAAATTACATGACAAAATGAAATGAAATTATGAAAATTAAATGCATTTATGATTTGAATTTATAATGGTTTTGTTATATGGAAATGCAAAGGATGATAAATATATTTATTTTATTCACTATTTTATATTTCATTGTTTTCCATTTCAGTTTTTGCCTCTGATGGAAATAATTGATGTGAGAATAAGACGTAAAGCAGAGCCTATTTTCAGTTATGGATATGGCAGTACTTCATGGTTTTTATTTCTATATTATGAAGATTATTTATTTTAGTAATTAATGCAAAAGTTTAAATTCTGAGTGTTCTTCATTTAAAATATTTAATATTAGTATCTTACTATTTCGTAGAATGGTTTATTTTACATTTTGAAATGATAATTAATGATAATATAAAGTAATTTACCATCAATAAAACATTTTAAAATTCATATTTTAAAATGGTTTTTTAGAGGATGTCTTGTGGATAGTTGGGGGAAATTTTACATTTACAAAAAAACAATACAATATAAAATGAAAGTATAATGCATAAAGCTTTGAAAAGAATTTTTAAAAGTGCTTCATATTTTACATTTTGCACATATCTTCATTATCTTTAACATATGTCATATAACGCATGTCCAGATCATGGGTCCAGTGCTCATTTTCACTTTGGTTGCATTCTTGGTGAATCCCATTCATCAAGGCTAGACTCCAATTCTTTCACCATTATTGGAATTTTCCAGTGTAGCAAACAATCTTTAAATAAGGTATGCTCTTTGCTTACTATAGAAAAAAAATCTGGATGCAATTTGTAGCAAACTCTAGTCAAATGAATCGGAGATGTGGATTGTAATTGAAAGACACTTCGCTGTAATAATAGACAGCTTGCGTCTAATAAATGATTATTGGAGCACAACAGAAAGCAGGTGCCATGCCGACAGGTAGTGATTAGCGGTGATCACCAGGGAATGCAACTGACCGGGAGAGGGGCGTGGTTGGTTTCTCTAGTAACTGTGCTCTTCTGTCTGCTTCTCCTTGCTGCCACTATGGAAGCGAAGTTTTCCGCTCCTGCAGGAAACAAAGTTATGGTAATAACCAATGTTTGTTGTCCTCTTTTGTTCTTCAATAGCTTGTTTGCAGATCTAGCTTTCTTTTAATGCAATGCCATCTGTCAGCTTTTTGTCACTGATCAATGACAGTCTGCACCTGTCTGCCTTTGGCCCTCTCTTACTACCTGACATTTCACAAGTACTGATCACGATTTAGTACAACCAGACTCCTTTTCATCTATCCAGACTCAGAGACCACAGAAGATGAGGCGGCAGAACCACAGATACCTATGGAAACCAAGGATGGTCAGGGTCCTCAGGAACAGGTTGCACACAGAGTGCCTGCAGGTAATTATCCAGTCTTCCTAAAATGTTTAAATAGATATCATTTTTTTTGTTATAGCAGGTAATGGGTGGCTATAGTGTTCTGTCAAGCTGTTGTCCTTTTTCATTTTAAAGTATGTCCTTTTTTGACTTAATTGAGGTATGTGGTTGACCAGCATCAATGTTACAAATTACCACCTCCATTTCAGCTGGTGTTTTTTTGTGTAAAACCTTAGACGGTATAAATAGCTACACAGCCTGGTTTCCAGAACAAGACAAAATATAGTGTGGAAATCTGATGGGGAGAGAGATGGCAAAGAAAGACTTGGAGATTTATTCAGGTTCTGTTACTAGGGGCAGCCTACATGGACTCTAATAAGACAACACTGTTCCAATATTATTTCTCTTTGATGTATTTTGTATCTCTCATGAACCATGCTACAACGGCACTGTACACAAATTCTTGGTTGTTCAATTCACAAGGTGCACAATAGATTCAGTAGATTTTATTGTAAAAATCCCTTGGTGTATTGCGACCAGTGGGTTCTTTATGACCTTGAGCCATCTTATGTTTTATAGCAAATGTTTATTTACATTTACATTATATGGGGACGGAGCAGGTAATATTATCGCAAAAGATCGCTTGCTGAAAAACACGTGATGACATTTCTTCTTTTATCAGTTGAAACTGGACACACTATTGATTCACAAACATTGTACCCGTGCTAGCTAGTTAAACCTTCTGTACTGTTGGGTAGGTTCAACAGTTTGTTTTGCAGTGTTTGTTATCCAGTATTTCATATATGCATATATACATTATCAAAGTGAATGTTGGTCTCCATGTGGTGGGTTAATGTACAGTCCCCATTGTATGTGTGAGCAGATATGAGAGTCTGCTCTCAAATAAAGGAATTGCAAATCATGGTCTAAACAGAACGTATGGATGGTAGAATCAGAAATGCCTTATAAATAGAGTATTAGATTAGTGTCAGGGTATTTGTGCTAATGTATTCATTCATTATTTTCTATGCTTGAGGATATACATCTTGTTTATAGCTCCCTCATGCCCTTTGTGAAAAGTTTGTGCATTAATGCGGCAAGATGTTCGTGAAATTAGTTTCCTCCCTCTTACTGACAATTGAGTCTTGAATGATACATTTCTTCAGCAATGCCCAGCACCTATGGGGCAATGAAATATCTGTGGGGTCTTGTTTTAATAATGACCACCTCTACTTTTTAGGAAAGAAAAGCGAAAACTTGGTCCAAAGTCTTTTTAAATGGTTAATTGTGCAAAAATGATTTATATGAATGATTTCATCTGAATTTCTGTGTTTTAAAAATCTAGCATATTTGAAATTGAAACAAATTTTAATAAGGTATGCATTGACAATCAGTGGTTACGCAAAAAATCTAATGTTTTCTTTGAATGTGAAATGTATTCTTAAGCTTCATCAATGTTACATTGAAATAGATTTTCTTTACGCACAACACATCCCAGGAAAATACTGATTCCTAAAATGTTCTCTTTTTTTGTACTTTTTTAGCACTGTTCAAGTCTCCAGTTTTTTTGTATGGTTACATATATTCTAAAGTATATTTCTAGTCTTACATACCCATAATGACATTATTGTTACAATGCTATAAATGAACTCTGTACAATTATAGGGAGGGAAACATGAATGGTTAATATTGTGATTTTCATTCGTTGGAATGAATCCGTACGGCAAAAATAATAGCTACTAGAAATAAACACATAGTTATTCTTGGATTCTTGTTACAAACCCTCCCTATTAGTGTCAAAAGGGAAAAGGTCTATTTTTGAGTGACATTGGCTAAAAATAAACTTAAAAGACAAATGTGAAATTTTGACAGGCTAGCAAATTAATCACGTACAGGGAATCCTCCGGGGAAGATTCTACATTTTCCCTTATACCTGCTTTGGTGACAGTTTGTATCTCTGTAAACAACAAATGTATTAAATTTTTGACTGTAGATTCCTTCACATGTCAACGTTATTTTTTTCTTTTCTTGCCACCTCCAGGCGATGGTGACAGGATGACAGACATCGCTCCAGATACAAGTGGCCATAGGGGTTCCCAGACAGACAGCTGGATGGCCAACCAGAACACAGTGGTAGAGAAGGAGGTGTATGCCTTGGGTTCAAGAGCCCCGGGGCTACAGGATGTCTCCAAGCCTGCCAGGCAAGCTAACGGCAGGGAGCCAGCGGGAACCCTCATCAGGCACCTTGGGGTCGAGCCTCTGGTTCGGGCGTCTCGCGCCAACTTGTCCCGACCAGTGTGGGGGTCTGAGGAAAGTGTGTCTTTAGCGAGCGATTACTATGGTAGCACGTTCAGCCTCTACCGAGGAAGGACTTTCTCTATAGCCCTGTAAAGCAAACACGCAAAACAAGCAAACAAATGAACAAAACAAACAAAAGGCCACAACAGCAAAAACCGAATAAAAACAAAGACAGCCACAACTTCACACAAGCTAATATTAGCTCTGCAGTAGACCCTGGTTATAACATGCTGCTGTCGATAAAATAAAAAGCTTAGCACCCAGATTTAAAAATAAAAAAGCAAGATCAGAGACGTCACGTGAAATGCAGAAACGGTTGAGGGCAACATAGTATCACTATATGAATGGCAGAAGATACAGAGGGAGGATTGACACAGAATGGTCTGAATCTCTTTCTTACTGTCCACTATATTCAGTTTCATTTTGATCCCAGGTGATACTTCTGTGCCAATAAAATTGGCTGCTTTGAATATTCAGCTAAGATAAAGCCAGATCACTAATGAAAGGCAGCCCTTTAGCCTTGCATGTCTCGTGTGATAAATCAACATGAGCAGTCATATAGCTTATTGACAATGTATTATTGTCACAGCATTCATATTTGTATGCATCTGTGTTGTTTTATACCAAGGAGATCTCCATAATGTATTAATATTTGTCAGACAAACTGGATTTGCAGTTTTGGGCTATTTTGGTTGTAGTTAGGTTGTTATTACTCTTCTGTATCTTCTGATTCATTCCTCGAAGTGTCCTTTTTGCCACCTATGTCATAGCCAGGGTTTACTGTAAACATTAACACTATATTCTATTCACTCCTCCCAACATTTCTCCTTTCTTTCTCAATTCATAAGTGTTCATTTTTATCAATAACTAATTATTCCATAATTTAGTTATATATTTCTTTCCATGTAATGAAATCTTCAGTTATTTTATTTATTTGTCCATTTATTTATAGCTCAGGGTCGCACTACAAAATTCTCTAAATATTTTCAATGCAAGTAGCAAGACAAGATATCGGTATAATGTTCAGTTAATTTTTTGACACGCTCCTGCCTCTTTCGTCTTTCGTATTTTGTTCTTGTGATTTTTTCGTACCTCTTGTGGGATTTCCTTTCCATTCGATGTTTACTACTGTCTCATGCCAGCCGCTAGCATTTCGTATTGTACTCAGTTTTCCACTAAATGTAAGGTTATCTTATTTATAATGTAGGCTTATCTTGATCGAAAAAACGACATCCTTCATCATCCAGTTTATCTGATATCTAATACCACATTTACCACATAGACTGATCTTTTGTGTGTTAAATATAGGCATGGCATCCAGGACATATATAAATGTCCACTAGTATATTATTAAGAGGTCACATCTATTTTGGGAGGATCGATTTTCAAATAATATGCGGCAGCATTCAAAATTATCCTTTATAAATGTCAGAAAACAAACATAACAGACCAGTACCAAACCTGAATTATTCTTTTCTGCCCCTAGTCTTAAAATCTATTTGGCATATTTTTTTCTGATCATTTAATTGCATTCATTTGTTCACTTTGTGTATGTATCATGGTATGTCATTCATAATGTAGTTAACATTGTTCTTAAATCGTTCTTCCAGTAACAAGATTTAAATGTGAGATTCATAAAGAGGACAGAATGCTATTTCATTCATCTACATTATTTGTTGAAAAAACAGGTGCTTGTTTAAAGGAAAACTTAATTAGGAATTAATCTGAAGTATTTTTAAAATATAAAGCCTACATAGTCATAAATATTCTCTAATTTGTGTTATGCATCCAGTTATATAATTTTTGTGAAGATACAAAAAAACATTTCTGTGGCTAACAAAATTCAATAAATTCAAATAAATTCATTACATTGTCATTTAAAAAGCACACTAAACAAAACTAATTTAGAGAAAGGTACTATAGTAGAGCCAACTTTATAAACTGAAACATTTTCTGGACAAATTATACATACATGCAAATATTATTAATAATAATGACAGATTCCAATATACATAAATAACCTCTTTTTTTACTTATACTCTTGTCCTTCATTTAAATTTTTACAGTTTCAGTTCATACTTTCCTTTGACCCCCTTTCTTCTCCATTTGCAATTATTTGAGTTCTGATCCACATATCAATAGATGCAAATGTAAAAGAAAACCAAATTTAATGATTGGCACATTTTGCAACATTTGCTGTGATCTATGGGGTATATTTGCCGTATTGGCAGATTGTCTTTCTGTTACAGCATTAAACACCAAATTTGCATCTCATTGTGTGTGGAGCATCACTGACCGCATTGGTTTTTCCCATTTGTTGCTGTGTTCGCCTGTCCTTTACCAGGTGATGTTTTCAGCATGAATGTAAGGCTCTGCTTGCATGAACTTATGTCAAGAAAGGCATTGTGAAGGGTGGTTCTGATCAAGAACAGTTTTCACTTACTAGAAAGTCCTAGGAAGACATTTACAATTATCCAGTTAACAAAAGATACATACATTTACTGCAAAGGCTGTTAGATAAAAAGCACATGTCAAGATTTCCATATATTTAAGTATCATTTTGCTTGATTAAACCACATGCAGTAGTGTTTGCTGATCAGCTACGTATACATTGATTAATCCATTTCTTCAAAAATATATTAAGACACTACGGTCTATTGAACAAAATACTAATATGTTTCTCATTACCTTTAGTATTTACATTGGAGAAACAATTGGCAACAAAAATGTAATGATTTACCATTCGAATGGGAAATATTCTATGCACAGTTCAAATAGTTATAATGGAACTACAGTTATATAATTGGTTACGTTTAGGTGATTGTTATTGGATGACCATATAGACAATGGTTTATATCATGCACAAGTACTGTTATAAAATACCTTCCAAGATTCAGTATAGGGGAGTCATGTATGATTTATTATTTCTTTCTGGGAAATCAGGCATTCAGTTATTGCACTCCTGCCTGATTGTTTTGTTATGGATGTTTTAACCACTGATTTTGCATAAACTTGATATATGACAGACTTGTAGTTACAGGCATCTGCTGACTAGGAAGGAAAGCAAAGAAACAATATACAGTAGGATTGTGCAGAATGCAGAGTCAGTTGATTGCAGCTGAGTCAGTACTGCATTAGCAGCAGAACTGCCTTTTTATTGTGCTTCTCTGGATGATAGCCAGGCTTTCACCAACAGTTCATTCAGTTCACACTCTTTACTGCATCTGTCTTGACATGGATTACTGTGTGCATGTAGCAAGATTTATTCTGCACCTTTCTTATCTTATATCTTAATCCTGTCAATAATTGCTGATATCTGTTGTTATAGTCCAGTTATGTTGGAAGGAATAGGCTGGTAGACACCATAGAACATTCTAGAGTCAATAATATACATGTATCCATTCAAAAATATGAGTGTTCTGGTATATTCAATATACCAAGACACTGATATTTACTCACAAACAGCTGGTAGTTTGTCAATATAGAGGTACTATATTAGTAATTCCATGCCATGTATCTTATATTTTTACACATATATTATTGTAGACTACAGCATTTGATAAGAGATCCACATGTAACAAGTTTATTTAGATTTGTATTTCAAACTTTTTTTATTTCATAATATTTTAAATCTTTCATAATGCAGATACCTCCACTTTAAATTCAGTTTATTTTTTCTTTCCTGTCCATTTCCTTTATCCTATGTTCATTATAGTAATCCTTGCATTCAATGTTTGAACTTTCGACACCATACATATAATAATTTTTAAACCTCAATCTACACATACTCAGAAAGATGAGCACTTGCACTGCGAGACATTCCTCTTTCCAAAACCAAGGGCAAAACTGGCTTCCTGTCCACTTCCAAACAGCTGGGCTCATCCCTCTCCCAGACTTTTACCCTAACAGAACATTTCCCTCAATCACCTTCTTTCAGGGGCCAGTCAGAAGACGTTTTGAGGGAAGCCTCCCCCCAAGCTCTCCCACCCCCCTCTCCCAAAATTAGTCACCGTACCTCCACTTCCCCATTACCCAGTCGTTCTGGGTCAGCCCCTGCCACACCCCTCACCCCCCGCAAGAAAGTGATTGTCCCAAGTGAATACCAAGACACAGTTCCAGGAGAATTTGAGGAGAAGATCAAGCAACCAAAATCCTCAGCCATGTCTCAGAGTAGCAACCTTGACTCCCGTCCTCAGACCCCTGTCAGCGAATATTCCCGGAAGGATCTGACACCACGGCCTTCACCAAAGCTTACTCGAGCTAGCTCCAAAATCATTGAGAAGGTACGAGTATTTGAGGAAAGGAGGAGGAGTATTGACCAACCTGAGGGGTCTATCTCTGGACGTTCATGGGCAGGTTTCCACAGGACCCCTTCCATTGACTCTGATGATGGTGGTAGTCGATTAGGTATCTCAAGAGAGAGTTCCAGGGAGGACCTGAGAGAAGCACTCAAAGCTGATGCTGCTCAGAGGAGATCCAACTTTAGGCAGAGGGCTACTTCTCTGGAGGACAGGCCTCACTACTCACAAAAGGTTCAGGACATTGAGAACAAGTTCACAGAGGAGCTCCAACGTATTAAGAAATTGGTGGGGAAGCCCCATATGAAAAAGTCTTTCTCTACAGAACAACTGTCTTCTAAGAGTAGGCAACCTCTGAAAAAATTAGAGCCAATTCCCCTCCAAGTCATCCAGAAACTGCAAGATAGGGAACGCATCCAGCAGCAACAAGAACAGAAGGAAAGAGAGCAAACTCTCGAAAATGTCTCACAATCACTAAGTAAACCTCAAGGTCAGCATTTACAAAATTCACAATCAGAGCCATTAGATGCTCAATGCTCAGACACCACAAAAAATTCCATTACTAGTGTTACTGTGAGCAGACTTGAGGAAGAACCTGTTATTCTAGAAGCTATGCCACTGGTTGAGTTACCTGGGCAAAGTTTAGCTCAACAACCACAAAGGAGCAGCCCAAAAAGGGAAAAACTTCAGAACTATTTACCAAGTGAAACAAGAAGTATAACTGAAGAGAAACCACCGTCTCCTACTCTACCAAAAGATGACTCTCCGCCAAGGAGAGTTGAATTGCCCATACGCAAAGTAGATCGGAGGCCTGTTAGCCCACTTGTGCAGAATGAGTACAAGCATGTCACTGAATCTTGTTGCATTGAAGAACCCCCAGCCCCATTATTATTAAAGGAAGAGTCTAAGCCGCGAAGGGTTGAACTGTCAGTGCGTAGGATAGAACAAAGACCCGCCAGTCCACTTGTGCAAAGAGAGCTTCCTTGTGTCCAAGAACGCCCACCCCAAGTCCCATCAATGCTTGCTGCACGCCCAATCTCCCCTTCACCTGTTTCCAGTCCATCATCAGAAGAAGAGAAGATGGACCTAGAACTACCCACTGTAACCACTTCTCCCAAGCTTGCAATTCCAGCAATAATTGTTGAAGAAGAACCCATGGAAGATGCCCCTAAATCAAGTGACAGAAAAAAGAGATCCAGCACTGCAAAAGACATGAAGAGCAGGAGAGGGAAAATGCAGCGTGCTCGACCCCTTTCGCCTGAGGAAGGTGAGGATTATGTTTTTCTAATGCCTGCATCAATAAACCAAACTCATCCCCTTGTGAATGATCTGTGGTTGTGTTCGTGCAACCAAACTCTTTTTAACCAGTCTTGTTGTGGTTCTAACTGCACTACTAACCCATCTATGCTTGGCCGCCTGGGCAGACTCTTCAGACGACTCGTACGTGTCTGCAGGAGAAGACCCCCAGGAGATTCCCATGTTCGAGTATCCCCTTCAGGACACCGTGGCGTCCGCTGGAGAAGAGGTGCAGCTGAACTGCATTGTCATTGGCACTCCAATTCCACAAGGTAATAAATCCTTCACTTTCTGTTTTTCTTTTTTTTATTTATCACGGGGGCAATTCACAGTCACATTATATATGTTTTCAGACAAATGCCAACATACTCCTATTCAGACAGTATAATATGATATGCATAACATGTTTGTATTACAAGTAACCAGCAAAATTCATAAGGCAGACTGGTAGGTGAGACCTATCTGCTGTAAGTTATTTATGGATTTCCTTCATTAGTCACCTGGAAAAGAGAAAACGAAGAGATAACGAGCACACCAACTCACGTGGTAAAAGTGGAGGGAGAGAGACACTCGCTGCTGATCAGACGAGCGAAGAGGAGTGACGCTGGGACGTACCATGTGACAGCTGTCAATGCTGTCGGGAAAGCTTCCTGCAACTCCACCTTGTTCATCAAACCAGGTGAGTAAGTTGGAGAATTTGTCATCTATATCTGCAAGCAGCGAGTGAAGACAGGGGACCCTCTGGTGCCACGTCAGTCTGATAAATGTGCCAAGTCCTTCATTTTACGGAGATTTATCTAAATAATCAGGGGATTCGCGACCCTTTTCAGACCCTCTCAGAGTTAAGCTCTTCATCCTAGGAAATAACCTTTAAACCCTAGATATTCATTAGGTATTCGGGACAACACTGTGTGAAAGACACCTTGGACCATTGAGGCTGGGAAAAATGTGTTAGCTTCAAAACACAATAATAACAGTAATAATGAAGAAGGAGAGAACAGCCTGTTTTGGCACTAAAAATAATAAATATTATTAAGTGGTAAATATGATGAATATGGTATACACTGTTTATTTTGGGGAAAAAAATCCAAAAAAATATCTGTGAGCTATTGAACATATTGAAAAACAAGGAGGCAGAAAAACATGTCAAAGGAAATTAAAATGTCCTTCGAAATTCCAAGCGATATGTTTTAAGCTACAGATAATGACTAATTAACAATAATATTTCTATTTCATGGTGTTGAATGGACCAGAGCATCTGTTTACGGAGCTAGTGCCAGACAATGTATATCTATATTCCTTCTGCACACTATAGAATTAATAATTGCACCTTAGTCTGCTTAGCATTGCTAAATACGTAATATCTGACAAGGAAGACGAAGGCACATAAACATACATGTTGGACATGTGCAATTTTTCAGCTTTGCCTATGATCCTCCCCCTGCACCCATGCTATGAACCCCCTACTCAGTCCACGCCTCTCCCTGCTTCTTACTCACTGCAAGATGCTTTAATACCGCATCCAACTGAGGTTCTTCTCTGAAGGTTTCCATGGCAACCCGAAAGCAAAATCTATCGCATGAATTGTGAACAGCACCCTGGTTTCCCGATCAATTTTAAAATGAAAAAATAGATCTCATAAGCTACCTTTGTGTTTTGTGTAGTTTTTGAAGAGATTAGAAGTAATTTAATCTCTATTTTCACTGCTGATGGAGTCTTCTCATTGGCACTGGTACAAAAAAGCACAGTGTCTGGCCTCTTGTTTTGAAATTCAAAGCTAATCTTATAGGCCCTGGCAGTGTTTTCTTTAATTTTAATTGAATCACCTGCCCTAACAGATCAGATAAGCTCACATAATAAAGTGGGATCTGAATGAAAATGTACTAAAAAAAGAAATAGCCTAATTCCTGTGGAATTAAATGTTTAGTGTGGTAATGTGAAAAAAAATATGACAGACAGCACAACTTTTGATTTCTCACATTACCTTCCGTCACAATAGAAAGCACCATTCATTCAGTTTGATCGCAGGGACACGATACAGTATGAGAACCAGCGATCCAATATCTGCTTATAGTCAGAAGATCCCATTGGGATTAAATAACCAGGCTAAGTTTCAGACTTATTCTCATTTCTGTAATATATGAACAAATGCTGCTTAGAACTGTCATCAGCATTCAAATCTTTGGTATGTATTAGGAATCAGAGAAATGATTGGTAGTTGTATCCGGTGTTTTGATGAGGTCTCTTTCACAGTGATGGAATCAGTTTGGCAGTCATGATCATGAAGAGGAAGCCAACTGCCGAAATAAAAATACAGTGTCTGGTGAACTGAGTCCCCTGGATAAAAAGCAACCCATAAAACAAGTTGCTGCGATTGTAGAATTGCACACAACCAATGACCATGCAGCAATGGGTCGCTAATTATTGTGTTCCCAAAATATGTACATCTGGCCACTTCTACATTCAGTCTCGTTCCCCACATGTCTGTTCGCTGGCAGAACCGATGCATGAGCAGCGGGGAGGTCTCAATGTGCCCATGGACATCAGCAGCCCAATCACGTCCGATGAGGAGTACCTGAGCCCCCTGGAGGAAGGGATGGACTTCGGAGGGCCATATTGCCAAGCCGAGCCCCGGAAGATCGTTGACATCCGGTTCAGGGAGCCTCCTGTTTTCCAGGTTCCATACCAGCCCTCCTCCTATAATTATAGTCACAGAACCTATATTTTTAATACCATAAAAATTTGTAACCAGAATTAATAATTACAGTGGTATCGCGCTTGAATTCCGATTCCAAATTCCAAACAGGTAGCCCTCACCAACCAAGTGGTGACAGAAGGACAAGAGGTCACCATGTCTGTACGGATACATGGGCAGCCCAAGCCCATGATTTATTGGTAAGCTTGCCAGGAGTCTCATATACCTCTATATCCAAGACTCAAGATTTTATACTAGTTCCAAGATTTTATTTGTCACGTGCACAATTATACTGGTACAAGTGAGATGTAAATTTGGCTTAAAAAAAAATAAGTGTAATTAAATTAAATAAATTAAGCAGGCATAGGAAGCTAAAAACAAAG